AGCCATTATACCCCATATCATGCAGGTTACATTCCTCTTGAAAACTACGAAAAGAAGCAATCTGCCACTCAGAACGCATCCCAATTCCCTGGAACTCATCTTGCGAAAGGACTTCATTGAAGTCTCTGAAACAAAGCCACGGTATTTCAGGATCCTCGCGAAGATTTTTCAAGGGATTCCAAGCTTGGCGACGTTTGTTGACTTCCGGTTCCCCATATACCCCTGTAATCCTAAACTTGATGCCAAAAAGTCGATTATGTAGAGCCATCTCCTTTGTTGATTTTACCTAAACGATTAAAATGTTGAACCCGACAATTTCTAGATTAAAAAAAAATATTTATGAATTCGGATTGTATTACATTGAATTCGCAATGCAACGGTTGTAAAATCCACCATGGAATCTCGGATTTGTAATTTATCATGCTAAGTGTTATATTTAAGAATATTGACAATTATCATTTTTTTTGTATATAGTAACAAATATGGTGTGATCGAAATGAAATTTATTAATTAAATAAATATAATACAATTAAATGATAATCCTGGAAATGTTATAAGACCATTGATACTGACTTCATCAACCTCGGGAAAAACGAAATGAAAAAATAAAATTTTAGAAGTTGTCGACTCATTCGTTGGGGATCATATCTATTATTTTTGGAATTTTGAAAGGGTTTCAAAATCACGACTTCAAAATGTAAGCTTCAAATGTGTTCTTTCGCCGACCTTGGCATTGGTCATTTAAACTCGATGACAAAGTCGACGTCATGATTTTTTTTTTTTTTCATAACAGATTTTTTATTTATTCCCTATAGTCCACATTGAGTTTTCAAATTCGTACGAAAACTAGTACAAATTTCAAAACTCAATGTGCACTATTCTTTTGGAGACAGGGTAGTACATGTTTTACTTTCTGAACAACTATATTTTTTTTTTCATTCATTAATTTTTAATTGTAAGTACTATAACAGTAAAATATTAGTGTTATCTTTTGTTTATTTGTTTGTCAAATTTTCTATGGAAACAACAACAAATCTAAAGCCAATAATTTTTGTATCATATCTCGACTATGTGACAACATAGTCGACAAGGTGTTAATCTTTTCTTTTTGTTTTTCAGGATTTTGAAGACATGTTTCAAAATCACGACTTGAAAAATTAAGATTCAAATGTGTTCTTTTGTCGACCTTTGCGACGTTCATTTTAACTCGACGACGAAGTCGACGTCATAATTTTATTTTCTTCCCAACTAAATTTTAGTTCATTCGTTAATTAATTTTTATGAGGTTTAAGTATTTGGTTAATCTGACATTTTCATCGAATAATTTTTTGTATTAGTACTAATTTTTTTCTGTTGTGTTGTTGTCTCAAAATTTTGACACTTAGCGACATTATAGCATTTTATATATAGGTAGTGGCAGATTTATTTGCATAATTAGTCTATCTAGACTTCTAGAGAAATCAATGAAATAGAATCAGTTTAATTGTAGTTAATTCGATTGTTTGGTTCTTGGTTCAATAAATTTTCAAATTGTTTATTCATGCCTTGTTTAACTTCACTTAGTTTTGACTAGTTGGACCTGAACAAATAATTTAGAGAAATACAAAATTATGCTTTTTAAGTCTAATTTGAGTTGTGGAAAATTAATCTAATCCAAATATACTCCTTAAATATTGTAAGGTATCTACCATCAATAACAGTGACTAATCGCCCCTACTCACGGTAAATATCTCAATGGGTGAAATAGCTGACAAAAGGATTTAGAGTTAATTCATACACACGAAGAGATTTAGACCATTAGTCTGTAGTTAAGGGTGGAAGAATCCTTAGTCTTTACCACTCTACCACCATCCATTTAGTATATTTTTATAAAATTAAGAGTTTAAAACCAGGTTCTCTTGGAATTCGACCTTATTCTAATATTTCTACAAACTATTTTTAATTTTTTTGGAATTCATATTAATTTCTACTGAATTCGACAAACCCACAACCGATCTACTATTATATTACAAGTGAATCTCAAATATTGTACTCATACTATCCAGAAGTCCATGTTTGGTGTTTAGGTATCTAACTAAATTTAATTCAATTATAAGTATCTTAGCTACGAAAAAGTGACATAATTCATGATTCATAATTTATAATACAAAAAAGTGGCAATAATTAACCTAGAGAGCAAAAATAATTTTTTTTTTCAAAATTATCCTTATTAGGTCAATAGGTAAATTGTGCTACCGTCTTCTCTCCCCCTTCATCTCTGTATCCTTCCGCTCCCACCCCAATTCCTCCTCACAACACACTGTAAAATGTAAATGATTTATCAGAATCTCTTCCTCATAATCACCACCAAGCAATATCACCATATCCTCCCTTTGTTATCAATTTCAAACTTCTATCTTCATCAATAAAAATCTAATACGGCGAAACTCCAAAAAGATATTCCATATTTGATAGATAGAGATTTATGTTGTTTAAATTCATGTCAATAACTAAAAAAATTGACAATCATTCCGTGAGAAGATCACCAAATTGACCGAGAAGACTCTTGAAATCCAAACAATGGGGAAAAAAAAGGGGAAGGAAAAGGCTTTTCATGAATATGAATTCAGTGAAGTTATTTTCCTTGCTATATATGAGCGAAAATGTTGTTGGATGGCCAAGACAATCATAGACGTTTTAATCATGGATGTTATGTCTTCTAAATATTTGAAATTGCATTCGTTTATGATAGATGTTCTGGTTGAAAAACTCAATGTGGATTTTTGATGATAAAAGATTAGTTGGTTTAAAATATTGTTTGCAATTATGATAAAAGTCTATATAGATTACAGTCGACGAGATTTGAAACTTAGAGATGATACTTCATAGTTGAATAGAGATATGAACTTTTATTGAGTTTAATTTTTGACTCAATGAGGGTAATTTGGGAAAGAAAGGCATTTTTTGCTCTGGGAGTTAATTATTGCCCTTACAATATCACTAGTCATTACTTTTTACAGTTTAGAAATTACTCGTCAGCAGTTCGTTTTTGACGATTTTATCTCTGAACCTTTTTTATTCCTCCTTTCTCATTTCTTCTTCTTCTTTCTATTTTTCTCATTCTCCAATTTCATCTTCTTCTTCCTTTTTATCAACTTTCAAAAGCATTGGTTTACTAAAAATCGAAATTTAAAAAAATGGCAGAACAAGACACCCAACTACGGGAAGAAGCACCATCGATACCGGTAATTTTTTTTGCCCCAAATTGTATTTTAAAAAAAAAAAACAGACTGTCCAGGTTGGCCGACCCGACAGGCGGTCAGCCCGGGTACCTTGGCCGGTGAGAAATCCGGCCGGCCAATCTTCTACCCTTGGTCGGATTTCTCACCGGCCAAGGTACCCAGGCTGACCGCCTGTCGCGGTCAATCTTCTACCCTTGGCCGGATTTCTCACCGGCCAAGGTACCTGGGCTGTCCGTCTGTCGGGTCGGCCAGCCTGGCCAGGCAGTTTTTTTTCAAAATTTTTTGTTGTAATTTTGTTGTTATAATTAATTTAGTTAAATTTATTTTTTTTATGTAATTAGTTGTTGTATTATTGTTTGATTATTTTAGTTAAATTTATATATAATTAATGTAATTAGTTGTTGAATGTTGTGTTATTATTTTTTATATGTCATTTAATTTTTTTTTTGTGTTTTAGTAACATGTTTAATTTAAATTATTAGGTATAATTTGTTTAGTTTAATAATTATTTTATATTAGGTATGTGGAATATATTTGTTTAATTGTATGTGGTATTTAGCTTTAATAATTAATTATTGTTTACGTAAATGAATTAGTTATTTTGTTATGTATATTGTATTTTTTTAAAATTTTACATATTTCATTTACAGGATTATAGTGGTGGCGGTGTTGATTACAGTCATTATTTCGATACTAACATAAGATTCGCAACTATTGAAGACGCTGTGCTATGGGCGAAAAAGACTGCAATATCTCTTAATTTCACAGTGGTTAAGGCGTCGAATGCAGATGAGACTAAGAAATTATACGATGTCCAAAGGGTGTTCCCCCTAGAGATACAGAGAATCGGGTGCGAGAAACAAAGGCGCAGTATTGTGGATGCCCGTTCCGGCTTCTAGCCCAAATTTGCCCAGGTGAATCTACTTTTGGGATTCCTTCATGTCCCGGTCGTAATGGTACGCATAACCACCCGTTTGGCAGTTTCAAGGAGGGAAGATGCAGATGAGCGGCCTTAGTGGTAAATCGAAGGTGATTGTTGACCAGTTGATTGCCATTAATATAAAACCGGCTGCAACGCTGCGGGCGATTCAGCAGAAATGCCCGGACGAGCACGTTTTGATCAAACAGATGTACAACTATAAGAGTAGGATGCAGGTGGAAAAGAGGAGGGGTAAAACGTTGGTGGATCACTTCTTTGACATTACTCAGCAATACAAGTATGTGATTACTACGCTAATGAAAAAGGTGTGTTGAGTCATATTTTCTGTGTACATCCAGTATCTGTAGAGTTGATCCGAGCATACCCGTGGTATATTGGCATAGATACCACTCCATAACATAATATAACATTCTGAAATTGGAAAGAAATCTAAGAAGTAACACATGACATAACATTCTGAAATGGGGAAGAAGTAACACATCCTAATAAAATACACATCAATCTCTATGGCTCCATTGGAAATCACCTGAAATTGGGCAAACAATGCATCATGCTCCTTTACTCTATCTACATCAATTTCGCAGATTGTCTCAAGTGCGTTTCTATGAATTTCGGACAATCGGTTGACCCACTGAAAAATAAATAAATAAATAAATTACACAATTAATAATATATTGTATAAACATTTCAAGAATTGGGAAATGCAATAAAGACTTACATGAGATGTGGTTCTAACTCTACCTATAGTAGTGGCATCTAAAACCAAGAAAGGATGCGAATATTTCAAGTACCACTGGAGGTAATTAGGAGCGCATGTAGTCTTATCATGATCACTCCGCTCAAAATACTCTGGATCCAGCCCGGTACTTGAATGGGAATTGCATCCAAGCATCAAACGCCTCAGTGGCCCTCCATGAAACCTTGTAGGCGTGGTGATTACCGCTACGATTTCTACTCAGGGGATGAGGAATGGGTGGAGAGATGACCTGGATGTATCCAATCTGGCGCAATACTCGACTAGGCAAGTATGGCTCAATAATATCTCGGTACTGTATCCAGCCACTGTATATGGTCCTTGGATCATCGGAAATAGGATCGGGGCCATAAGGCAACCATTCAACTGCACAAAAGATATAAGATACGTTAATAACATTATTTTGCATAATTATATTAATTAAAAGTGGAAAAAGTGACGTACTTGATCGGGTGTCAGCTTGTCGATCTGGCTGCGAAGGTGCATTAGACGATCTGGACTGTTATCAAGATTTGGGACAGGAGCCTGGGTCGGTCAGGAGCCTCAAAGGGATCGGCCCGAGGTGGTCTGAAACATGGAAAGTACACATATATCCACGCCTGAAGTAGTGTGTAGCAACTAGACATTGAGGCATTTTTCAATCTGGTGGACACACCTAGCTGACGGTAGAGATAGGCTAGAGTAGCAGACCCCCACGAAATATTACCTCAGGTGACTAGGCCATCAATAAACTCGGAGAGAATTGCCGTTCTAATCCGAGTCCCACTCCTGTCGGTAAACAACGTGTTCTCTAACATGACCCATAACCAGGCGGTCACCTGATCTAAAGCAAGCCCTACCGCTTGGCCTGTATTCGCAACAATGCCCGACTGAACCCCTCCAACGTGGATTACTTTACTAGTCTGTAGTGCCTGGCTAGTCATTCTCAGCGCCCTCATAACCAAAGTACAACCGACAGTCCCAGGTTGTGCTCTAATCAATCTACCTTCAACGGGAATACCCAATATCTGTCGCACGTTGTGTAACATGATGGTCATCTCCCCAAAAGGCATGTGAAACGTATTGGTGTCCGGCTGTCACCTCTCTATAAATGTTGTAATCAATACCTTATCAATGTTAATGTGCATGATGTCCACGATGTGGGATAGCCCTGTACCAGCCAACAAGATCTGAGCCTCAGTCGACATAGAATCCTTCCATTCTTTCAACAACTTGAAGTATGTGACTCTTGTATCTATCTCCAAGGAGGGTTTGTACGACTTATCCGTCAAGCGATGGGCCACATGAGTAAGAAAACTGGGAATAAAGAAACTCTCATTAGAGCCACCAACAATTGGTCTCGTAACAACCCAAGGCTGGGCATTAATCGCTGAAATTAACGTAAACAAATCATTCAATTTTTTTCCGATAAAAGATTTGAAATAACTTAACTACTAAAATGTAAAATATAAACCCCATACACTAATTTCTTACCTGTTGATGGTAATGCTGATGCAGATGCAGCTCCAAGTCCTCTAACCCTAAGACAAATAACATTGCTTCGTCTAGCTGGAGGTGAATGTGAAGGTGAATGTGGAGGTGAGTCACCTACGAAATCATTAAAACCCTTCCGAGTCGATATCTTCAGTCGGGACATCATCATTGTCACTCACATTCTGTAAGTCCAAACTGGCATGATCAAATACATCGTCAAGTCCCAAACTATTACCGGCCTGGCCCATATACGACTCACTCTTTGACTTATGCCCAGTTGGACTCCCACGACGATATGAGGCAGAAATGACTCGACCATGCATGTTCCGTGTACCCGACCCAAGCAACAATGAAGAATCAGGTACATCTTGCCTTTTCTTTTTTCTCCTTTGAATATACATTAATGAATATATATAACTACTCCACTACAATAATCAAAATAGAAATTAAAATAAATTCAATTAAATAAATTATACCTAATTAATTTATCCTTGTAACCTACATTAAATATTATATATAAAGATTCCATTACAATAATTATTCAAGAGAAATTAAAATAAATTCAATTAAATTAATTATACCTAATTAATTTATCCTTGTAACCTACATTAAATATTATATATAAATATTCCATTACAATAATTATTGAAATAGAAATTAAAATAAATTCAATTAAATTAATTATACATATTAGTTGTTAAATTTATACTCTATAGATTCAAATATAATTAAATTAATTACAAATATAATTAAACAAAATTAAAAAACTAATTAAATTGTTCCCTTTCATTATAAATTAATACAAATCTAATTAAATTAATTATAACTAATAACACAACATTCAACAACTAATTACATTAATTATAATAATTTAACTAAAATAATTATTAAAAAAATTACAACAAAAAAAATTTAAAAAAAATGCCCCGGCTGGCCGACCCAAACGGTGGCCAGCCTGGAAACCTTGGTTGGGTTTCTCACATTCGGCCACTTTTCAAGGATTGGCCGGTCCCTGACCAGGCCAATCCATACCCCTTGGCCGGTGAGAAACCCGACCAAGGTTTCCGGGCTGGCCACTGTTCTGGTCGGCCAACCTGGGCAGCAACCTTTTTTTCTAATTTTTTTTAAATAGACCATAGTTCACGCAGAGAACAAGCAGGCACACATAATTTATTATCTTTAAACAAGAAACCATCATGCCTATAAAACTTGTTAAATGCGCCACTTTCACATGCTTCAAAAATGGATGAAAAATCAGAATCAGTAGCATATAAATCCTTGATGTATTCAATCCCTAATAACTTAGAATCAAGCATAGAAAGTACATACGATCTACGAGACAATGCATCAGCTACTACATCTTTTTTCCCTTCTTGTACTTAATGACATAAGGAAAAGATTCAAGAAATGGACTCCATTTAGCATGTCTCTTATTCAGTTTGTTTTGTCCATGCAAATATTTCAAAGACTCATGGTCACTATAGATAACAAACTTTTTTGGCATTAAATACTGTTGCCAATTTTCTAAAGCCCTAATTGCAACATACAATTCTTTATCATAAGTAGGATAATTCAATGATGCACCACTTAATTTTTCTGAAAAGTACGCAATAGGCTTACCTCTCTGCATTAACACAGCACCAATTCCAACCCCAGATGCATCACACTCAATTTCAAAAGTAAGATCAAAATTAGGTTAATGCAAGAACAGGAACACAAGTTAAATCATTCTTTAAAGTGTTAAATGCAAGTTCTTGTTCTTTACCCCATTCAAACCTAACATTCTTCTTTACTAAGTGATTTAAGGGTGCAGCCTTAGTAGAGAAATCCTTCACAAACCTACGATAAAAACTAGCTAAACTATGGAAGGAACAAATGTTAGAGACAGACTTAGGTGTAGATCATTCTCGAATTACCTTAACCTTTGCCTCGTCAACTTTAACACAATCCTTGCTAACAACAAAACCATGAAAAATAACTTCTGGTACACAGAAAGTACACTTAGCAAGTTTAGCATAAAGTTTATTTTCACGTAAAGCAGAGAGCACACTCGAAAAATGTTTAGCATGCGAAATTTCATCTCTACTATACACTAAAATATCATCAAAATAAACCACAATAAATATACCTATATAAGGTCTAAGCACATGGTTCATAAGACGCATAAAAGTAGAAGGAGCATTAGTCAAACCAAAAGGCATAACCATCCACTCATATAAACCAAATTTAGTTTTAAAGGCGGTTTTCCATTCATCACCCTCTTTCATGCGAATTTAATGATAGCCACTAGCAAGATCTATTTTAGAAAATATGCAAGAGCCACATAAATCTTCTAACGTGTCATCTAGCCTAGGTATGGGATGTCTATATTTAATAGTAATTTTATTCACAGCACGACAATCCACACACATACGCCATGTTCCATCTTTCTTAGGAGCTAAAATGACAGGCACTGCACAAGGACTTAAAAATTCACGAACCATACCTTTGTCAAGGAGTTCCTTGACTTGACGTTGCAGTTCCTTGGTCTTCTCAGGGTTCGCCTTGTATGCAGGATGATTAGGAATTACTGATCCTGGGATAAAATCAATTTGATGCTCAATTCCCCTCAAAGGTGGAAGTCTCTTTGGCAACTCTTCTGGAAAAACATCCTCATAATCCTGCAAAACAGATTTAACAACACTAGGAATATTTTCAATGGGGTTAGTGTTAGTTAAACATAAATCCTTGTAAACAATTAAAACAAGTGGAGTGCGAGTATTTAGAGCCCTCCCAAGGTCTACCATAGAAGCGTAAAAGCTGCCTTTTCTCTCCCCAGCTTTTGGCTTTTCTCTCAAACTCTCACTCACTTTTGATCTCTCCCATTCCCCAAACTCTCTTTTTGACTCTTTCGAATCACTTTTATGTCTTTTCTCTCTCTCTCTCTCTCTCTCTCTCTCTCTCTCTCTCTCTCTCTCTGCATTTTTTTTTTTGAGATTCCATGATATCCGTAGGAGATAACGGACACAATACAATAGACAAACCCTTATGCACAAGTGAATACTGATTTGTCCTTCCATCTTTGATAGCACCTCGATCAAACTCCCATGGACGTCCCAACAATATATGACATGCTTGCATTAGAACCACATCACAAAAGAACTTCATCCTAGAACGTTTTAAAACATAAGAGTAAGCGAGCTTGCGACCGTACCTTAATTTCTCCACGATCATCTAACCATTGCAACTTGTAAGGCTGAGGATGCTTGAACGTAGGAAGGTTCAATTTCTTGACAAGTTCCATGCTCACACAGTTTGTGCAACTTCCTCCATCCACAATCACAAGACACGTCTTATTATTCATCTTACACCTTGTATGAAAAATATTGGTGCGTTGCTCGAGATTCTGGTCTTGAGCTGGTTGGATATTAAGAGCATGAGCTAGTACCATAGCTCGAGATACGTCTTCCTCATAGACAACCTCATCTTCACTCTCAGAAGCTCCCTTATCAAACTTTGACTAGTTGTAGCTTGCTCGGCTGTTGCTAAAACCATATTAGATTGATGGTGCACATCTTCTTCTTCATTTTCATAGTACCAATCATCTCGAAGTACCATTACCTTCTTATTGGGACAATCAGATGCATAATGTCCTCTTCCTTTACACTTGAAGCATTGTACGTTGGCAGATGAACCCGGTTTGACACTAGGTGTCTTCTTCAAGGACTTGGTGACCTCGGTCTGTTTAAGCAACTGTTTAGGTTGACTAGAACTTGGAGCTGTATGCTTCTTAGGAGTACTCCCCCACCGATTTGATCCAAAGGATGATGTACTAGTGGAAGATGCCCTTGCTCTGCTTGCGGCCGAAGATTCCTTCGTTTGCCTCTCAATAGTATCGGCCTTATCCACCAAATCATCTAGATCATGATAAGACAGTAACTCCACTCTATGTCGAATGGAAAGGTTCAAACCATGTAGAAACCTTGTTATACTTTTCCTCATCTTCTTCCAATTGACATTTAACCTTCAAAGTATTCATGTCTTGGTAGTATTCCATGACCGAACTACTTCCTTGCTTAAGATCTTGCAACTCACCTCAAAACTTCCTTTGAAAGGATGCTGGGACAAAAGCCTTTCGCATTACACGTGAAAGCTCTCCCCAAGTGGTGATTGCGGGATCATTGTCTCTTCTTCTCCGACGTTGTACCTCATTTCACTATGTAGAAGCATATCCATGAAATTCTGACACAGCTAAATTCAGCTTCTTTCCCTCAGAATAATTATTGAGATTAAAGATCCGATTGATATGATCTTCCCAATCAATATATGTATCAAGATCTGGCTTGCCACAAAATTCTGGAATCTTCTGCTTGATAGTGTTCATGTTATCATCAACTCTAGGCTGTCTTTGTCGCTCATGCCTAAATTCTTCTTCATGCTCAACACCATCATCATCATTTTGTTCCCTTGGAATTTCTACTCGCTTTCCTTGACCTACTTCTTCTCGGTCACCATCTTGTCCTTCATTACCACGCCCACCACCTTGACCACACCCGACATTGCCACGTTCGCCATGGATGTTCCTACGTGCAACAAGGTTAGATCCAGGATTTACCAATGGATCCCTAACTTGGGCAAGTTGGTCTATTTGACGAGTCGTTTCTTCTTGTTGCCGAGTGATCTCTTCTTGTTGTCGTTGTTGTTGTGCCATTGCCATCGTCATAAGTTGCAATTGATTGGTTAATGCCGCAATCTTATCTTTAAAATCTTACACAGTATCATTCAGCATTCCCTGTTGAGGAGGAGGTAGAGCTTTGTCTCCCATGTTTCCTGAAACACAACTCGACACACACAAAAAAAAGAATATCGAAGAACTCACTTCCTGGTTACCCCTCCCAACTATTCTATTCACTCTCCAAGATCTCTCAAGAAAGTTTAAAATTTAGTAAGGGATGGATTCACTCTTTTCTTACCACTATCTTTGTCTTTTAATTCTTTGGTGCAATGAAGAGTAGTGCTACAAGAAGTACTTCATTGAAACAAATAAAGAGGATAAAATATAAGGTTCTGAAAATAATTGTAACAAGATCTAAGGAAGAACACGAATATAGATCGAGTAGTTACAATTATGAAAACTTAGATCTCACAAAAAGGCTAATAGAACTTGTAGCAAATTCTGAAAAATAAAAGCTTCAACTTAGGGTTATGGATAAAACCCTAGTTTCGGCTACTTCACAAATAAGGGTCTATATTTGCGAAACCCTAGCCACCAAATATCCAAGTATTTCAAAAAAGATATGTGCAAATAATAGTAATTGCACTTCAAATCAAACTCAATTACCAATATCCTTCTATGCCATCTTTCTTTTTATTTTTACTTTTTTTTTCACGGCTATTTTTTTTTTTTACTAAGAAAAAGTGGATTAGGGATTAAGATATCCTAGATCCGATTAATTAAGAGAAGAAATGTTTTTTTTACTAACAATAATTGATCTAACTATAACAACTTCAATCAAATCAAACAAGAATACAATCGAAGCAAAATAGTGAGATCTATAATAAAAGACTCAAAATTTCAAAAGAAGAATTAGAGATCTAACCAAAGATTAACTTTAGTAGATCAAAACAAAAACAAGTCTTCAAGAACCTAAACAAAAACAAGTATCAATTTGCACTTGACTCTACTTGCAAGTTTTTAAAAATCAAGGCTCTGAGGCCAATTGATACGAATCTTGAGGCAAATGTGGTAGATTTACCTCGATGCAGAAGCTATGAATTTCCCAGGACTTGAAAACTTGCAAATCCAATATTATGGACTCCAAAATCACGAAAAATAAAAGGAAAGAAGAGATACAAACCAAAAAAATTTGCACCAAAAAGGGATAAAAAGGTTTAGAAGATATAGAAAGTGTTTAACGTTAGCAACCCAATCGGTCACCTCTCTAACAACCCTATCCCTTCGATTTATGGATAGAACGGCTAGCGAAAAGATTCCAATAAACAACTAACAAAGCTCCACAAGTAGAAAAACACTTATTCTACTCGCATGCATCAACAAAGCACAAGCTTGTGTGCAATGCACTAATGTTCGAAAAGAGTTGGAAAAGAACAAAGAGTTTCCTCTCATCTCATATTGAAATAATTCATCAAATGTACAAATGAAATGCTGGCCAAGCACCCATATTTATAGTAGAGGGGTCCGAAAATTCTCCTACCAATTAGGAGAAGAGTTTGATCTCTAGCTCTATTCCTACTTTAAAGAACTAGAAATCAACTTAACCTCTAATTGACAACTTGTGTCTTATCTATTAAGGCAATGTATCTAAACACCTTTATAGACTTAAGACATACTAGTCTATTGAAAATAAAACTCCAAATACGAAGAGATATTCTCTCAAAAGAATCTTATCTTTATCTTGAAAAGAATTTTCCTGAGTTGTTAACTCTATCAATATCTTCTTTGTATAGTAATCATAGCCATCCAATCTTGATCTAATCTCCATCCAACGGTTGAGAGTAGACACCAAGGAATAGACTTTTTATTTTGAATAAACTCTAAATTAGATAAAAGTGAATCATATCAAATCTTATTCTTCCATGTGATAAGATTTAAATGATCTTATCTCTAAAAGATAGGGAATCTTCTAAATCTTATCCTTCTACAAGTATGATAAGATTTAAATGATTTTATCCCTAAAAGATAGAGATTCCAACTCCTAAAAATTAGGAGATGGGGCCGGCCTCCCTTGCTTGGTTTTTGGGCCGAAATTTCCTTCCTCAAATGGGCCTTGTAACACATTAATAATATTGGGCTTAACTTGGGACTGACATTCTCTTGGGCTAAACCATTTGATATAAGATTATTAAGTGTAATTTTCATCCTTTTACTTCTAGCTCGAGTCATTGGACGTCCAATGTTGGATAATAGATCTTGAACCACTCCTTGAGTTTGGACAGTACTTAGAACCCGAACACCTTAGACTTAATTACTATGGATGTTCACAACACAACATGTAAAAATAAACATAAGAAATATCTACTTTATTATATCTCCCCCATCCTGAAATGATTATCCAATTTATAATTTTATTTTTTTTTGAGAAAAAGAGCAACATCCCTTAGGATTAAAGGTTAAATGGATTTAGCGAAGATGATGCACTATTTTGAGTTTCACAATCATCTTGGGAACGAGTAACAAGTGATCCTTGCTGGTAGGTGATAATAATATGGTGTTTGTATGAGTACAATTTAGTAGTAAACAACAAGATACTAGCTCCCATCACAAGTTAAAAAATGCTTCACTTTTGAGGCCCAATGACCAGGTTGATTTCCAGTTCTACCCTTGAACTGAAAAACTATCATTAACCCTCCCAGCAAAAATCTTAACAACGGTTGTTGGAACCAACAGCATTTATCTTCGCATCACTCGGTGGCGTTCTCTTCTTCGGAACCTCTCAAGCATGAACTCGTCAGTGGCCGCTTGCCTTTGAACTCCTCCACCTGATTCGGCTGGTTTCTGGTCCAAACTGTTTCTCTTGCCATCCTTGTCTTTGTACAACTCTGGATGTTCTGTAAATGTAGTTTGGTTAAAAATCTCTAAGGGATGTGAATAACAAATGCAGACTTTTTCGAGTGGAGAGACAGCTATAATGAAATGCTGGTATAACAAGGCAGGTGTCATAAAGATACAGATAACAATACAAATAGACTGGTATCTCTCTCACTTATCACTGTAAAATTGAGAAGCATAACTCAAAACTCAAAACTCAAAACTCAAAAGCAGAAATCCTTTTGCATGTTTTCACTCATTAGGTAATTGAGAGGCAGGGATGGAGGAAATCAAGAACAAAACCTGACCTGCTCAGCGCCCTTATATGCTAGGAAACTGGGGGAATAAAGTGTAACCAATAAAACTACGTAAATTCAACCAACCTCTCCTCAATTTTTCTGCATAATCCGTCCCGCGTTGAAAGTAGTCAGCACTGTAGCTTGAGGGAATACTCGAGTCGGTTTTTGGGCGCCCCATGAGCCTCTTCTCTTGTAAGAGCTTTTTCGCAGCCTCTGTTTCTTCAATGTTTCTCAATTTGTATCTGTCAATTAAATGAGAAATTCGAGCACACCTAAATGAACCAACTTTTGAGACTTTACCATGACCAATAGAAAATTACTTAGTTCACTCTAATTATGAAAACATCCAAACCTAGATACAACGATTTCACTACAAAAAAAAAAGTTCTTTTTTGAATGAAACAATAGAGGTAAGGAACCAGAAGGGATATGAGAGTACTCCATTGGAAGTTGAACCTCTGCAATGCCTGTCGTCCACTGCGTAGAGCTTTCTTCTGAATTTCGCCTCTTAACCTGAGGGAGAAAGTAGGATCCCATTATACAAACTACGCATAACGCATTTAGCTGAAACATTAAGTTAACAGAAGCACTCTTTAAGCATCAAAACAGACCAGGCAGGATGCAGGCACAATTCACGTAATAATTAACAATAATCAGATATATCAATATTAAGTTCAACACAGACACAATTGCTCAACTATCCCGCCATCACCCGTTCCACTAAACAGGAGGAATTGGATACTCTGGAATAAGATAGGTCCACTCACTTTGAGATGTTCTGGAATTTCATAGAGTTCGTCCTCAGCACGTTTCACTTCATTCTCAACTTCATTTTCTACATCGATATGCCTGCCTCTTTTCTTCGCCAATTCTTGTTCTACATATCTCAACCTGGTCATTTGGAGAATATTGTCATAAATTTCTTTTCAGCAGAGACATATAATGAGCAAGGATATATGCAATTACATACATATTAGGGTCTTCCACCATAACAGCAGTTTCCTGGGCAAAGGTATCCTGTAAAACCAAGTCATCCTTCTCGGCATCCCCGTCAGTCTTCTCACTCCCCTTTCGGATTAAACCACCAGTTTGAGAAGCATTAGCCTGAGCAGCAGCAGCAACTGCATTAGGAAGGGCTGGAATTCCAGATCTCTTTTCCCTCTGCTTTTGAAGGAACTTCACCTCCTCTAAAGCCAATCTGCATCCCATATCCACATTCATCCAAGGAGCCAAAAAATAAAGTTTGTTAACATCATAAATGGGAATAATTCACACCAGTTGTTTTATCATAGATGGGAATAATTAGTCTACCTCCTTTCTTGCTCATCTTCTGAATCACTTTTGTTGTTCTCAGCAAAAGAGTCCCTTTTCCTGAAATTCTTGGACTTCATCATTCTCTATCTCTGGGGCTTCTACTATTATGTTCTCTTTTATGCTTCAACCATTTTATCAACAGAATTCACACTTCCATTTAGCTGCAAAAAGGAAGAGAACATAATGCGATAGGTACATTCAACATAATAATAAGCAAAGAAAGTACTGGTCGTGACGACCCAACCCGACACCTAGTAAAAACATAACCACGAGGGTCGCATTGCACCGCTTACCTAGCTCGTGCTAGGAATCAACGAGACAGAAGAACTTTGACAGCAAGTATGGTATGAAGATATCCTAAATTAGTAAAAATATGAAGAACACCTGTGGAGAAGAAACCCTAATTTAAAGAAACAGTTCAGGAGCTCCTTGGTAAATAAATTACAAATGAAGCAAATGTTTCTGAGAATTGCTTATACAAAGAATAAAGTTGCCAGTAGAACGTTTAGCTGAAACAATAACTAGAAGTGAAGAAAACCAACAGTTCGGCACAAAGTAGTTTACTAGCAAAATATTTGAGAAGCTAAGAAAGCTTTGAAAGCCAGTCTCATGGAGTGACAACCAAAGAGTAGGTTAACAGTGTGATATCAAGTCCTCGATAAGTAGAAAGTTGAAACAAAGCAAGCTTATCAAGGAATTTTTCACTCGAAAAAACAGAGAATGCAGTAGTTCAGTGATAGTAGAAAAAGCTCATCATAGAGAACTCAACCTCGTTTAATAAAATCATTTTAGAGGGAAAGAATCTTAAGCGGACAGCAACCAATGAATTGCATTAAATAGTCTACGGACAAAATATTTATGAAACCATAGAAGTTTCCAACGGCATTCTGTTGCTGCCTTCTCATGAAGGCTGGATTCTGAATGATATTTCAAACAACACAGTGAAGTTTCAAACAGTTCATTTGTAAAGGAAATAGCATAAGAAAACAGTGCAAACATTTCTACAATATGAAACGGCAAGAACACTTATGTAAAAAAACAGAAGAGAACACTCACTTCACTTGTCCCGATACCTAATGTCCTTTACGATCCCGACTCCTTACTTCTAGCCTGTGTAATGAATATGGTCATCTACTTCAGTTTACCAATTCCTGAAGTTTAAGCTACTAAACCTAAAACTAAAATCCCATTTAACGGACCAGACTCTAACTTAACCCCAAAAACCATTTAGGTTTTTTTTTTCCCCCAAAACCAGACCTAAAGAGTATCGAATCCAAACATAACTAGTTAAGAATGAAATAATTAATTTCTCAAACAAGATGCTAATTCTAAATCCCTGGACCTCGGATCATTACTTATCATCCTCTTCATTTATATTTCGAACTTCAGAAACAAAAACGAGGAGAATGCGAGTTAATTACCTACAAAGAATTTCGGCCAGAGAAGGTAGCTGCAGCTCGAACGATCCTAAAAATCCCAGCTATCCTACCTCTTCCACCTTCAGCTACTACTCTTGATATTGGTCGAGATGACGATGATGAATGAAGATGAGAATGGGAGCAGAGCCAAAGTTCTGGAAGAGTAATGAAATTTATTAAGAGTCGTCAATTTGGGGAAGAACAGTCGGATTCTCAATGTCGGATGATTCCTCCCGTTTACGCGTCCAGGTTGACTAATCTGACCCATTTCTGAAATATTAGAATCAACCCCCTACATTCTCTATTACCTACAATCTAGTCCAGCAGTATTGACATTCCCAGGAGTATTGACATTCTGTTTGGAGAGGCGTTAACAAATTTGAGTTTCAGGCCTTTTCTTTAAAACTAGCTTGTTGTGGACCGTACGAGGTGCGGTCATGTATTTGAGTTGACCCGAGGTTGTAGTTTTGTGATATAGAACAGTTGAGTAATAAATAGGTGTAATAGCTCAAGATGATTTTTTATAATTTTTGAATTTTATTTTAGCAAAGATAACGGCGAGAAAGTGATCTACCAAAATGTATACAATTCAATGTCTTCATTATAAACATCAATATAATATACCCGAAAAGTATTGGTGGAAGGAAGGAAATATCACTTATGTGCAACTAATATATACATTGTTACATCAAAGAAGAGCTCTTGTTCTAGATATCACAAATTTACTCTTAATAAGATTCTAAGTATTATACAGATGATATCCAATATAGGGGAATAAGAAGCAATGAACACAAGATGCAATTTATTCTCAGCTTGTTCACCAGTCTCCAGAGTGTATTCTCAGCTTTAGATTTGTGGAATCCATTTGCCTCCAACTTCTGTAATGAACCCTGAAACGAAGCTTTGGTTACAGATTTGATGGTGAATGGAAAGGAACCTAAACCTCTTTTCCTCCACCAGTAAGCTCTTGATGTGTACCACCAAGCTCTTAGTGTGTGAGCTTCCAGGTCGATGCAATATATTGGTGAAAAACCGGGAGATTACTATCTAAGCTTGCACCATCATGAGCTATATGTGCTAATGTGTAATAAACGAGAGATTTTTTTCAACAAATTAAAACCAAAGGCTGCTAGGACAAGAAATCCTACACTCTTTGTAATATAATATTGAACAACATTTACACACTAAATGTGCATGCATTTGAGATTGGGATTGAAAGCAAATCAAATCAAATGGAAGCAAATCGAACAAGGGGGACTGAGCTTCGAAAGTAGTTTCATTGTAGACAAAAGAAAGTTCTTAGTAAGAATATATCCAAATAAACAAAACTTTTTTAAGTTTTGGAAAGAAAAAAAAAGAAGAATTAGAAGACTATGTGATAGATTAAGATAAGAGCACATGTTGTACGTGTGGAACTTTACCTATAAATGTAGGAAAGAAGCAACTACAATAATTGGTAGAACTGACAAGGTAAAAAGATGTGATGAGTTGATAAAGAAGGTAGTACTTCTTCATTCTTTGTTAAGAATACTTGATATCGCGCACTTAGCTTGCTTATATGGAGTAATGAGGGAAGTGAGGATCTACATTTAATTACCCAAATCTATTTGATGTCTTTGTTAAGTCATATTCATCCTACAGGCAAAGGTAACACAGATACTCTGTATGCTGTATTCTTAAACATGCAGAACTAAACCTAACAGAAATTTTATCCGAAAGCAAAGTTCTTAATGGAGAAAGGGGGAAACAATGATTAAAGAAATTCATCACCAAAGTAAAAGATGAGCCCCTCGGCTATGATACAGTCAAATAGAATTATCCCCCAAACAAGCAACAAAAGAATTTTGTTTTAGCAAAATACATAATTGCACACTTATCAAAATAGTGACAAAATCTTACCATTTCAAGTTGCATCTCCACCTGAAATTTAATCAAACCCAAACAAAAAATTACAATGACCAACAATGATAAGAACAGTTCAAGAGTTGGATTCCTAGCCATCCATAATTATAGCAATTTTAGTTTTCACAAAGGCAAGTTAGAGAACACAATTGTTCTCGACCTCTTTGTCCCCTATTCTCTCGGCCCTATAAACAAACACAGCATGTATTACACCTCAAATTTTACTAAGAGACTTAAGAGAAGGAGGAACAACCGAACAAAGATTTATAACAAAGGTAAACTCATAATCTAACCAATTTAATCACTAAAACACTGTGGAAATCCAATTCCAGTGGCATAACACAAGCGATACCCAGGAGTGAAACAATCATATCAAGAAAAAAGAAAATAAAGAGGATAGGGAAAAAATTATCAAAGCAACTCGATTGGGAAAAGAAAAATGGAAGAAAGTCCAGAGATGAACGTACATTGAAGCAGCAGAGGGATACTCGGAGAATCGACAACCGAAGCAAAGAGATGATGATTGAACTGGGAAGATAGGGATGAAATAGAGTTAACAAATAGGAAGAGATGAGTGGCTACACCGCCTCATCCCTGCCGCCGCTATCGCAAGAACCAAAAGATACAAGTCATGGATTGAGGCGGTTTCGTATCAATTTGGAGCAATTCTGTTCAGAGAGTTCCCATTGAACTCTGCCTCAAACTTCAATAATTTAGTTGAAACCTTTGGTTCTGAGGAATTGTTCCGAGGGACCGACAACCGGAAAAGAAGAAGAGGAAGTAGAAGAGTAGGAAAGCTACAACAAAACAAAACATCCAATCATAAATTGACACGTAGACAATAACGACCTAGAACTCCCATTTAACCGTACCAAAAAAGAGGATCTCCGCTTTATTATATGTAGATGTAGATATTTTCTAGTGATATAGGAAGATTGAATGTGGGTGAACTTGAGCGAAGGGGAAGAATTAATATTTTATTTTTAAAAACCAAATTAAGCTGGCCAAACTTGCAGAGTAGTGAATTAGAAAATAGGATTGTTTCTAGTTAAGTTTTGTTTACCTCTTTTAAATTAATTCGCTCAGCTTTTTTTTTGAGTTAAAAGTTTATTCTTTCACTTACATACACTTAATGAAAGCAGAAGTCGCAAAAGCCACATGGCAGCTTCTTATAAGTTTTTTTTCCCGCCCAAACAAATACTACTTTCTCCATCGTTTATGTTCCTAAAACAAGCCCTCCTTCGTTTCCGTTCCTAAAAGGCTGAAACGATTGCGTAAAGAAAAACCCTCTAAATTCTGTCTCATCTTTGGCTTCAGATTTTTTTTTAAAAAAAAAAACCCTCAAATTAGGACTACAAAATTTGCTTACGAATTCATTCCTAATCAAATTCGATTTTCAAAAGAAAGAAAAATATCGCTACGTCTCTATTCTTCTGATTTTGGCTCTCAGTTATGGCTCCATTTCGGTGAATGAGGACAACATCAATGATGAGATTGCCGCCTTGGAAAAGATAGACATGGACGATTTAGTAGGGCTTTGAAAGCGGATTGCAACAGAAGAAGATGGGCTATCTATCGATTTCAAAGGGCAAGGATTTTTGGAATCAGTAAACATCTATGACCATTGCTCTGTCTGGATGCTTTCATAATCTCAATTTGCATGTTTTTATGAGTATTTTTCTCTTTCAGTTTTGACCTAGATCCCTGATTAATGGCGCCGATGAAGGGAAGACTATAATCCCCGAGGACTTCTTTTAGGGTCAGATTTTCAGCGGCGGCACTCGGATCGCTTGTGTGGTGGTTGTCGGTGGAGCTGGTGGAGGCGATGGTGTTATTCTGATGGATGATCTTTCAGGCACCGAAGATCTGATTGGTTTGACAATGATACTTTCAAATGACTATTTTTCTCATTGGTAAGCACTTGACTTTTTTTCCTTATATGTTCATTTCGTGATAGGTAGTTGATTATTATTAATTCGTTATTTTTTTTTGTTTGTCTTATAAATTGCGTTGAAGATATCTTAGGATCTGTTCTTCGTTTCTTTATATTGGTTATTGATTATGCTTTGAAATTATTTTGGCTTTTCTGTATAAGAAAAAAGCTATAAGAAACTGGTGAAAGAGGGACATTATATATGTATCCAAAAGTTCACAGGAAGCTCTTCACTTTGATGATGTTTTTGATCTTTTATGAGCCTACTTGGGTTAAAACTGGATTTTCATTGAATTTTTCAGATAGCAACATCAGGATTTTCAATTTATAGAATTTTGGGTTTTTCTATCTTTGGAAATTTTATTGTTTTAGGAGGTTCACTCATGGTCATTTGGTTCAGTTGAAGTTTAGTTCGCCTGCGACAACTGAGTTAGAGAATATCTTGGTACGTGATGATCGTGTAAGCAGCCGTGGTTAAGGGGAAACTGAGGGGCCGGAAAACCATGAAAGAGCCAGTAATCGAACCAGAAGAGAGGCCAAACAGTTAATGATCAAAGGTAGCATGGACGAATTTGGCGGAACCAGACTTGGGTGCACAAACCAATTCGGGGGTATCAATGAGCCCTAATTTGGGAATTGCTCAATTGAAAAAGGGAGAAGAAGAAGAGAGAATGACTGCAGATATCGGAAAATCTCAAAAGTGATAGTAAAAAAGATTGACTGGTTGGTAGAGAAAACTCCAGTGCAGGCGGCGGTTGACCCAAATTGGGAATTTTGATCCTATAAAATTGAAGAAAGCAGGAAAAAAGGATGGAATATATACCACCAGATAAGCATCAAGGGAAGAAACTATGCAAAATGAGTGCAGAAGAGGTGAAAAGAGAAGTAGAATATTGGGAACCGTCTGTCATTAGCTATGTATTGGGAGCGAATCCACCGGTAAAGGTGATGGAAGGGTACTATCGCAACCTTTGGAAGCAAAACATTAAAAAGGTCCTCATGCTTCCCTCTGGTATGGACCTAATTAGATTATAGACAATGGCTGCAAGGGATGAGGCATTAAACACAAATATATATCATATGGATGTCATTCTCGTCATTGTCAAACCATGGAGCATTGAAAAGGGGATAAATTACAAAGAAGTCACCCATGTTCTAGTGTGGGTACAATTAGATGGGCTCAAATTAAAATATTGGAACATTAGATTATTAAGTCGTCTAGCTAGCAATCTGGGAAGGCCTATCATGGCTAATGAGGAGACAATTGAGAAAACAAAGGTGCAATATGCTCGAATCTTAATAGACATAGAAATACAGAATTTTCCCCAACTGGAAGTATGCTATGGGGATGAACATGGGGTAAATACAGCAACAATCTGTATACTATTAATGGAGGCCAACACAATGCTTTCATTGTAAAGGTCATGGGCATCAGAGGATTGCAGAAAGAAAGAAAAAGTCAAAAAAGGAATGCCAGCAAAAATGCCAAAAACCACAGCAAAACCAATCAATGGGAAGGAATGGAGGAAGTTACAAAAGGGAAAATTCGATGAGGATAGAACTACAGGAAGAAGCCACACAAAAAATGCCAGATAACCAACATCAGAGAACAAGGGTGCTGATTCAGGAAGAGGGCACTAGCCAGGGGAGAATAATTTGTGAATCTAGATACCAGCTCCTGGGAGATTCTGATGAGGCCAGTTCCAGCACCAAAGATGAATATGAACAAGGAACAAAGAGAATGGAGCTAGCAGAACCCCCAAATTCAGGTAATCAATGAATACTATATTAACTTGGAATATTAGTGGCTTGGATAGCCTCACTAAACAAAGAGAATTATCTAGGCTAGTATCACTTTATAAGGTGGGTATTATCTGTGTAGTAGAAACTAAATTTACTGGTAAAAAAGGTGAAGATATCTAAGTAGAACCTGGAACCAACATGAATACTATATGAATTTTGATTGCCTCCCTCGGGGAAGAATTTGTCTGATATGGAGAAAGGATAGTGTTCACATTTCTATAATACAATGTACAGACCAACTGGTGCATTTTGTTGTAAAAAGTATGAATAATACAGAGTTACTTTACTACTAGTTATGCTGGCAACATAGCCTCAGAAAGGTCACAGTTGTGGGAGAATCTAATCGGCATATCTAGGACAGTCTTGGGAGCATGTTATTTGCTAGTGATTTCAACAACGTTTTAAATGCCGAGGAAAGATTAGGAGGATGAAATACAAGGGTGGTGTCTCGGATAGATACTAGTAAATGGAGAATGGCTACGGAAATTTGAAAATGCCCTAGCTATTATACTTCTAGAAGGAGTGTCTGATCACACACCTTTTATTATAAGAACTGATGCTAGTATAAAGCAAGCCCCAAAACCCTTTAAATATTTCAACATATGGAGCAAGGACCCTGATTTTCTCAAAGTAGTGGAAGAAAGTTGGAAAAAAGAAGTGAATGGAACGGAACTTCTTCAGCTAGTGAAAAACTTTAAAGATTAAAAGGGGAACTCAAGAGGTTGGATAGAAGTAGATATTCTGACATTCAAATAAGGGTTTAGATTAAATTGATAGAAACTCAAATCAGGTCCACCTAAGTCCTGATAATGAACTAATACCACAAGAAGAAAGAGAAAGAGGCTAGGAGTATCTTAGATTATCAAAAGCTTATGAAAGTTTTGTTAGTCAGAAAGCAAAGGAGAATTGGTTGCAAAAGGGAATACTAACAGCTTATTTTCATGCCAGGCTCAAGCAGAAACTACTAAAAAACAGAATATGGTCATACTTGCAGCAAGATGGTGAAAATATATGAACCTTAATTATTGTATTATTTTTACATACATACATATATATATATATATATATAGAATAATACATATGAGTTTACAATAACCCTTATACACATATACACTAACATCTCCCCGTAATCTGAACGGGGGAGACACGGACATTTAAATTATCTCGGAAATCAGTAAAAAGAACATGAGGTAATCCATGCATCATAATATCGGGAAGCAGATGAGACGATGGAACATGAAGAACACAGATTGAGCCTTGAGTTACTTTTTCACGAATAAAATGAATATCAATCTCAACATGCTTTGTACGATGATTCTGAACAGGGTTAGTGGACAAGAAGATAGCACTCACATTATCACAAAATACTACAGTAGTTGTCGATAAATGAATACGGAGCTCAGAGAGTAAGGAATGCAATCAACATACTTCAGAGACAATATTAGCAACCGCTCGATACTCATCCTTAAGACTAGAACAAGAAATGATGGGTTGCCCTTTTGAGGACTAAGAGACAAGATTAGGGCCCAAAAATATACAATAACCAGAAGTAGAGTGACGTGTGTCGGGACAACCAGCCCAATCAACATCAGAGTAAGCCACCAATTTTTCAAAGCGAGCTGACTTAATGCAAAGACCATGAGAAATGGTACCTTTCAAATAACAAAGAATGCGCTTGACATCCTTATAATGAGTCTCGCAAAGAGCGTACATAAAGAGACAAACTTGTTGCACTGCATAAGCAATATCGGAGAGAGTAAAAGTAACATATTGTAGAACACCCACACAACTATGATACTCATGCGAATATGAAAATAAGTCACCATCATGTTGAGATAATTTACCGTTAGTATCAGTAGGAGTAATCGTGGGATTGGTAGAAAAGAGATGACAATGATCAAATAGGCTAGAAATATACTTTGACTGAGCAAGAAATAAACCATCTGAAATACGAGAAACAAATATGCCCAGAAAATAATGCAAGTCTCCCAAATCAGTCATGAAAAATTCCTTGCATAATGTGGCATCAATGGAAGATAACAAAGCACTAGAGGAGACTGTGAGAAGAATGTCATTTACATAAAGTGTGACGTCTCCAAAAATGCACCAGCCAATTTAAACCTGACTAAGGAGCGTTGAGAAACATCTGCTCAGCTCTCGCCGGGTCTCACATTGTAATTACTAAAATAAATAAATAAATTATATTTTAAATAATAAGATAAATCCTAAGTAAACATAATCAAATTTTAAACTAAAGAACAACTTTTACTTTACAGGTTTTTTTTTTAATTTTTCTATAGCCTACTAACTATTACAATATGCAACTTCTTACCGTAGCACTTCCTCAGAAAACCTGTAAAAATTACTAAAGGGGTGAGCTAAGCCTAATGAGATCCCCAAGTTTGAGAAAAACATTTTCATGCAACACACGGGGATCATATGCACGCAAGCGATATAATAGGAAAATTAAATCATGCGCATGCACAGATAATTTCCAAACAACAAACGACTTCACGCGAAAACATAAAAAGTTGAGACTTAGCCAGACCACACAGCAGGCTATAGTCTCTCTCTCTCTCTCTCTCTCTCTCTCTCTCTCTCTATATATATATATATATATATATATATATATATATAAAACTAAGTAAAGACTCAGCCAGTCCACTAAGCAGGCTAAACTCCAAATATCACTAAGTGGGGACTTGGCTAGACCACTCAGCAAGCCATAGTCCATAAAACACTAAGTAGAGACTTGGCCACACCATTAAGCAAGCCATAGTCTTGTATATATAGTATATAATATATAGACTAAAATGTCCAAATGATTTTTTACATTTGGGTCTACTTGAATTTACGTCCCAAACATTAACATTTCAATATCGTAGTCCCAAACATAATGTTTTCATAATTTTTTGGTCTCATTTCACTGTTTCCGGCCGTTAACATGCCGGAATCAGGGGTATTTTTGTTTTTAATTTAATTTAAATTTTTATTAAAATTTAAATCATTAAAAATATTTTAAAATTCAAATTTTATTATTTAATTGTTAAATATTATTTATTAATTAAAATATTATTATACAATTTTAAAATTTATCATTATTTTCAAAATTACTTTTTTTCATTTAAAGTAAATATTTACTTTAAGTACACAACAAATAGTAATTATGTTGCACTTTTAACTTTGGACCCACTATAACTTAAAAAATTTACCCAGTTACAGTAAATAATTCAAAAATTATTTTTTTTAAAAGAAGAAAAAGAAAAAGTAAAATTAAGATTTTTTTTACTCTGACGGCTACAATAAACCCTTAATGATAATTATGTTACACTTTTAACCTTGGACCTACTGTAACTTAAAAAATTTACCGAATTACAATAAATAATTCAGAATTTATTTCTTTTTAAAAAAAGAAAAAGCAAAACCAAGATTTTTTTTTTACTTTGACTGGTACAGTAAACCCTAAATAGTAATTATAATACACTTTTAACCTTAGACTCACTGTAACTTAAAAAATTTACCGAATCACAGTAAATAATTCAAAATTTAATATTTTTTTTTTTTAAAAAAACAAAACTAAGATTTTTTTTACTCTGACCACTATAGTAAACCCTAAATGGTAATTATGTTGCACTTTTAATATTGGACCCACTGTAACTTAAAAAATTTATCGAGTTACAATAAATAATCCAAATTCAATTTTTTTCCTAAAAAAAAAGAAAAACCAAGATTTTTTTTACTTTGACCGCTATGTTGCTCTTTTAACTTTGGACCCACTATAGCTTAAAAAATTTACTGAGTTACAGTAAATAATTCAAAATTCAAATTTTTTCTAAAAAGAAAGGAAAAAGCAAAACATAGTAATTGACCGCTACAGTAAACTCTTATGTTGCACTTTTAATCTTGGACCCAATGTAACTTAAAAAATTTACCAAATTACAGTAAATAATTCGAAATTCAAATGTAGCGGTCAAAGTAAAAAAAAAAAAAATCTTAGTTTTGCTTTTTCTTTTTCTTTTTTAAAAAAATTAAATTTTGAATTATTTACTGTAACTCGGTAAATTTTTTAAGTCATAGTGGGTCCAAGATTAAAAGTGTAACATAATTACCATTTAAAGTTTACTGTAGCGGTCAGAGTAAAAAAAAAATTTTTCTTTTTTTTTTTTAAAGAAATTAAATTTTGAATGATTTAGTGTAATTAGGTAAATTTTTTAAGTTGCAGTGAGTCTAAGGTTAAAAGTGCAACATAATTATTATTTACTTTAACCTAAGGTAAATGATAAATGAAAAAATTAAGTTTGAAAATAATGTAAATTTTAAAATTTTATAATAATATTTTAACTAATTAATAATATTTTAACAATTAAATAATGAAATCTGAATTTTAAAATAATTTTAATAATTTAAATTTTAATAAAAATTCAAATTAAATTAAAAGACGAAAATACCCTGATTCCGGCATGTCAACGACCGGAAACAGTGAAATGGGACCGAAAAAGTTTGAAAACATAATGTTTGGGACTACGATATTGAAATGTTAATGTTAGAGACGTAAATTCAAATAGGCCCAAATGTAAGGGACTATTTGAATATTTTAGTCTAATATATGTCACACAGAATTCACGGACCGAAGTCCCACACATATCACACGCAAGCAAATCACATGGACGCAACAAAGGCACACAGCACACGCATGTTCACATGCATTTTACGTAAATTAAAATAAATATTTTAAAAAGACAGAAAAGTAAATGTTAAAAGTGAGGTGGGGAACACTCACCTGACATGTCTCGACTCTTGACCTCTAACCGACCCAACTTACTATCCTAAAGTTGACTAGCATGTGCACACCTTTAATGGACAACAAGGTAAACAATGAAACTTGATAAGCAAAGAGTTCAATTCAAGGAAGAAAGAAACTATAAGATTAGTCTTATGTTTTGAGTTCTAAAATTTCAGTATTAGG